TGTCCTTGCTATGCTGCTGCACCTTGCTGTTGGTAGTCCTGGAAGTCATGGTCACTTTCCAGGCTAGTCGCCTCTAGCGGCTGCTCCTGGCTGGCTTGTCCTTGTCCAGGCTCCAGCTGCTTCTCATGGGGCCCTTTAATTTGGAGCAGAAGAAGCCCTTGGGTCACCAAGACCCTGTCGGAAGCAGAGGACCTCCACCTTCTGCCCCACAGCTCAGGCCTGGCAGAGCTGCCTCCCTCTGAACCCGGCTCCCCCTTGACCTAGGTGACAGCCAGGTGAAGGTCGGAGCTTGTGGGAATCAGGAGGGTATTTTATTGGCTAAAATTAGACTTGATGTTATTGAGTCTCAAAACCTCTAGGGGGCAGTGGTGCGCTCCTTCTGGGGATACTCTGTCCTGCACGGTTTCCTCTGCTCCACCCAGGAAAGCTGCTGAGCCAGCACACATAGAAGTGATACCTGGCCAGCGAAGGGTGGGTGGCCCTTAGGTGGGGACGAGATTCATGCCCCAATACCTTGATGGTGACACTTGGTGCTCTCAAACTCATATGACTCGTACTCCTTCCTACCCAGGCCCCACACTCTCTTGAGGTATCTCAGGGGAGCCCAGGCCTCCCTCCTACTTCCTGGGGTTAAGGCTGTGTCCTTAGGGTAGGGACTTGTCCTCTGAGACCCCAGGACCAGAGTTGATGTCTGGTGGCCCCAGGGTGGCTCCCAGAGACCTGACAGTATCCATCCTGTAAGGCCTCTGACCCTGGGGCTTGACTTCCTTCCCAGTCCTTCCTGGGCCATGCCCATGACCTGTGGCTCTGCGCACAGACCCTGGGCCTCGGGACCCCCTTGCCCACTCTGCCCAGCTCGGTTGGGTGGCTCCATTGGGTGGTCCTGTGGACACTGGTATCTCTGCTTGGGTCATATGGCTCTCTCTAGCAACAACAGCCTTGGCTCTGAGCTTGGTGCTGGCTGTGAACACCAGGCACACCCAGTCATCCCTGTGCTCCTGCTCTGAGGTTGGTGGCAGGGGGCACCTTGGGGCAGGCTTAGTGACCCTCTCTGGGCTCCAAGGCCCTATTCTGTATCCCCAGCTCCCATATTGGTCTCAGAACACCAAAATGTGTCAGATCCAGCACTGTAAACTGCTGTCCGTGAGGAGCTGGGAGTGAGGATGTCAGAAGAACATCTGGAGCTGGGTGGGAGGTGGCAGTGGCATTTTGGTATGGGACTGATGTCTGAACGGAAAGTGGGCCTTTGGGGCAGATGTGGGTCCCATGTGGCAGAGAAGGCCCTGTGCTCAGTGGCGGTGGGTGATCTGTCACGGCTGGGCGGCACAGGTGATAGCTCCTCTGTTCCCCTGGTACCCAGCCCTCAGAAGGAGGCAGCATGTATGGGTGACCAGGGCCTTGTGCTTTCCCTTCAGGTGCCCTGAATGAGACTTACAGCTTCTGAGCCCCTTTCCTAACCCCTTGTCCGTGGGCCCCTCCTTATCCCACCTGTTTTCCTCGCCTTGCTTCCTCCCTGTTTCCTGCCCCGAGGACCTTCCATGTCGGTGTTCTTACTCCTTAGGTGCCTTTAGCTCCATTAGCCTCAACCCGGAGAGTCTCAAAGCAACCTCCTCTGTCGGCCCAACAGAGCTAACTGACGCATGTGTGCAGGGCACCAGCTCAGTGGGACCTTGGGGCTCAAGGCTGGCTTTGATGTCCCTCATAGCTATATGGTATCCCCTTGGGAAATGCAAAGGCAAAGGACACATCGTGCATGCCATTTACCTCATCTCATTAGATAATTATCTCCCTCACCTGGCATGGTAAGAAAGCCTCTAAAAATAATTCTGCCAGGGACTCTGCAGTGATGGGAAAGGATGGAAAAGCCCTGCAGGGCTGGAATCAGAAGAGCATGAAGTGGAGAAGCCAAGGGCTTCTTCCACTGTGAGGAGGAAGAGGGCCGCGATGGTTCCACCTCTTCACCTTGGCACTGGGTCTTGGGCCTGCAGCACCCTCTTCTGCCCGTTACCCCGCTCTACCTGCTGTTCATGCCTCCCCCATCTGCTGCCCTGCCCAGTTGCTCACGTTCATGCACATGGTCTACACAGCCCTGCAAGGCAGCAGCCGCTCACAGTCCACAGGAGGCAAGGAGTGGGCACGGAGAGGGACGGAACTCTGCCTGGGGTGCAGGCAGCACAATGCCCACATGGCCACAGCCCATATGCCCACCCGAGGGCAGCAGCCATTCAGTCTGTAAGTCATGCAGGGCAGGGGCGCTGAACTGTTGGGACATCCAGCGAGGGCTCCTGGCAGGTGTGGTGGGAGAATCCCAGACACAGAGTCGTAGGAGGCTGTCCCCCTGCTGGGGTGGGGTAGGAGGTTGGAGTCCTGAGAAGCTGGCAGTGGGCTTCGAGAGCTGTCATGAGCAGTTTGGAGAGTTGCCTTCTGCTCTCTCTGAGCCATTGTGTGGCTTCTGTCACCACAGCACACACCCTGCCATAAGGGGGAGTGGCTGCCTCAGGTGGCTGAGGGTGGCAGCTCCTGTGGAGCCCATGGTCCTTATGCAAAGGAGAAGGTGGGGCTTGCTCAGGCCCTTGGCGAGGGCTGGGCTAAAGCTGGGGCATTTCCAGGGTCACCAGGGCCAGGCCATGGGGAGCCCAGTGTAGCACCTGACCCAAGTCAAATGGGCTTGTCTGTGTGTGATAGAGAAGTGGCCCTTACCTTGGGGCTCTGGGTTCTAGGAGATGCAGTGAGCCACAGGGCAGGACTTAAGGACAGCTTGGAGCCTGGAATGGTGACTGAGGTGATGTGGGCGGCCTAGATCCATGAATTCCCCAGCCCAGGGAGGTAAACTTCTGCGCCTTTGCTCAGGAGGCATCTCCTGCCCGCTGTCCTCAGCTTTGCCTGGGGTTCTCAGTCTGTGGTTCAAACCCAATTTGCTGACCACAGGTTTACAGCCCTAAAAATGTATGAGTGTGTTGGCACATGATTGTAATTCCAGCACTTGGGAGGCTGAGGCAGGAGGATAACCTTATGCTTGAGGCCAGCCTAGGATATAAAGTGAGACCCTGTCTCAGAACAGGCCAGGTCTGGGCCACTGCAGTGTGGGCAAGCTTCACTGTGACCATCACAGAGCCGGTGGGGTGACAGCCTAGGGCTGCCACTGGTGCTGAGCTGAAGCTCCCGCCAGGGGCTTCAGTTGGTCTCTGTGCTAAGCTGGCTCTGAGCTGTTACAGCACAAGGACATGAGTGTGGAGCCAACCCAGGCCAAGTTCAGTGAGTTTAACATCACAGAGGAGGAACAGGCCAGGAAAGCTGCTCCAGCCTGGTGGCAAATGGCCTTTCCTTCCACCAGACAACAGAGTTCCTGGCAAGGGCTGTGATGTCCTGGGCCCT